TACCTCGGGCCCATGTCCGCAGTAGCTGTCATAATAATACCACTCCGCCCCATAGTACCGAGTATACCGAGTATACCATCACATAATCCGTCATTACCACCATCTTCAGACACAGAGAAACTAAGGTCAGGTCATTGGCAGGGAGGCAGTCATCGACAGGTCTCCAGCATCTTCCCCACGACGCCCATGAGCGTCTGGTTCTCCAGTGCAGCCGCCACCCGCTCCTTGTCTGCCAGCTGCTTGTTGACCTCATCTGCCGTGCTATGCGAGCCCTCCTTGAGCCGGACGTCGACTCTGAACCGCGGGGGCAAGGCCTGCTCCAGTCTGACGCGCACTCCAAGCCCGATAACGGTGGCCAGGCTACAGTGGGTGATGGTGGGGGTAAGCAGGACGGTGACCTTGCGGAGGGGAGACGACGGCGAGCGAGGCAATGCCGGCGTGATGCTGATGTCCTGCAGCGAGACGACGGCCAGCTCTGCCAGCGGAATCGGGTGCTCGGGGTCTGATATCGTTGCGATCAAGTCTGTACCGTGTCAATATCATATTAGAAATAGATGTAGGAGTAGATAGAGGCATACCGAATATCTCCTGCTCGTCGATGGGCTCCTCGAGCTCGTCCTGGCTGCCATCCTGACTGCTCTCGCCATCGTCGTCGTCCTCCTGGTATCTGGCAAAGGGATCAAAGGTAGACTCCGTGGTGAAGATGCTGTCCAGCCTGACCTTGGACTCTGCGCCCTTCTTCTCCCGGCTGGGCAGGTCAGCTGCGCTCAACAGCGTCGGATTCGAGTTCTGCATTCCGTCTTGTCTCGTCTCTTGCTTAATATCTCCTGTAATGCAGTAGTCTTGTTGTTCTTGTTCCCTGATATCAATCTCGACCACTCGCTATCCCTGCAATTCAGAGCAGGACTGGGCTATCCCTCCCGCCTTCGTCCCGCAGATGGCCGGCCCTTCTTTTCTTTTTCTCTCTCCCTCTCTCCCTCTCTCTTGTCTCTGCCTCTTTGCGTCCTCGGCCAGTCCTTTTTATGTTTCGCCTGGCTTCTGGAACGGCAGAAGGTTTCCCAGCCTGCTGGTCCTGCTCGTCGTCTCGCTTCGGCGGCTCTTTTTTCTCCTTCGCCTTTACTATAACTAACAACAACTCCAAACTACAACGACAAAGACAACTGCCAGCCAAACCAGCCCATCCGCCGGCGACGCCAACGCACACAGACAGAGACAGAGAAACTTGTTCTCGCTGCTCGCCGTCGTGCTGCCGTCTGCTCTGCCCGCCGGACTGCGATTGATTGCGCTGTCTTGCCCGTCGCCGTCGCCGTCGCCGCCCGCTGCTGATACGCCA